GTGACATGATTTGTTTGTGTACAAACTAATACAGTATCAGAATTTTATATATTTATACTTTTCATTCAACCACAGTTAAATTCACATCTAGGAGGCACAATTTATGTGGATAGTATTTATTTACAATAACAAGCTGGAATGAAAACAAGCAAAAATAAAATAAAAGTAACGACTTTATAATTCTTGCCTTTTTTAAAAATGTAAGGAGTAGAAAGTACAGATAATTATGTGAAAATGTAAGAAGTAGAAGTAAAACGTAGACTGAAAAATAATTATAATTCTTGCCTTTTTTAAAAATGTAAGGAGTAGAAAGTACAGATAATTATGTGAAAATGTAAGAAGTAGAAGTAAAAAGTAGACTGAAAAATAATTACTCAAGTAAAGTRCAGATACCCAAAAATTCTACTTAAGTACAGTAACAAAGTATTTGTACTTAGTTACTGTACAACTCTGAAAAGATCAGTACTTGCACTCATTTGTAATCAATCAGATTTTCATGAATCTCATTGAGAAAAGACTTGAAATGAAAATTAAAGTAACCATCAGGTAAAAGCGGGCGGTAAAAGTGTTCCAGCMACAGTGGATGTTTTGTTCACTGCTTCCTTCTAAACCTGAACGTACAGTATCGGGCAGAAGGTCCTGATAGTCTGCATTCCTCAGATTCCTTCACCCGTCATTGAAGAGAGGCACTGACTTAACGTCATTTAAAGTCTGGATTGAAATGTTTTTAGTGAGACAGACCTTTTTTTAATCTTTTTTAAATGGACTCATTTTGCTTCTGCTGTGTAAAATGTACAGAAACACAGTTCTTCAGTCCATCAACAAGACAGAATTGTATGTTTCTGTGTTCATACTCTGGTACATACTCATCCTGTCCTTATGTACACTTTAGGCTGTCCGAGGCTCGTCTCTCCTCCCCAATGAAACCCAAATCAAACTTCTTCTGTTTTAGTATTACCCTGATACAACAGCTCACAGATATTATTCCCATTAGTTGTGCTGTTTTAAAATGGAGAATAAAATGAGTTAATCTTCACATACAATTCAGGTACAACTCATGGGACCAGACTGGATTAGTGTACCCGCCCCACCACACACACACACACACACACACACACACACGTTTGTTTCTCGACCCCGTGGGGACCTTCCATTGACTTCCATTCATGTTTTTTAGACTTTATATCCTAACCCTGACCATATACTCTAAAATTAACCTCACAGAAACTTACCTGACCCTAAAACTAACCTAAACCTTGATCCTAAACCTAACCCCACACCTGGGACCCGTGGGGACCTGGCAGTGGTCCCCATGATTCACTTCGGTCCCCACGAGGCTGCTTTTTTTTGGTGAAAAATTCCCCATGTTGTAGGAAAAACCCAYCCACCCACMCACACACAAACACACACACCACCACCTCCACCTACATTCCTGTGAGATGTTCAACGTTTGTTTGTTTAGACAGTCACCTCATGTTATTTTCCACCATATGTTCAAAATGTCTTTGAATCTTGTTGTAATTGTAGCACACTGGGCCCAAACATGACCATTTTGTACCCATGTTCTTACCATCGCTTATCAGTTTATCTGATTTTACCCAAATTCCAATCCAGCCTGTGACCTCTGTGGTWATGGGGAGCGTGGGGATGGATAAAGAACCCAYATGAGCAGGTGCCTCAACTTCTCTAACTTTGGATCCTGCTTGGATCTTGTTTTCCAAATATTATTTTTTAAGTCAAATCGTCTTTATTGTAAATTTTGCTGTACAAAGAACCATTTGTCACAGAGCCACACAGAAACAAACAATCATTCACTCTTTCACTCAAACCTAAGGCCAATTTAGTTACCAGTTAACCTTACATGTATGTTTTTGAAATGTGGGAGGAGTACCCAGAGAAAACCCACACATGCATGAAGAGAACATGTAAACTCTATGCAAAAGAAGGTGGAGCTAATACATTTGTGGTACTCAGTAGAACCACTAAATTTGACGATTGTGTAATTTGCCATTTATAGTAATTTATAGTTATTTTTTAGTGACAAGAGTATTCTATCTACATTTTGTCCATATTAGGCTGAATTTCTGTTTTCACATGATCTACTTTGTCTAACACAGTGATAATTCAGTTAACATGGGCTAAATATCTGGGAAGCCTCAACTTTACATGTACTGTGAACACACATGTCTACTTGTTTATGTGGGCTGCATGCTACAAATACTGTGAACTTGAAGCAAAAGACATYRTACATGTATCTGTATCGAATCATTCAATACAGTGCTCTAGGTTCAATACACACTATGTRTTGAACAATACAGATTTTATAAATTTTATCAACATGTTTTCTGAAGATGCTGTGTTGAAGGCTCAGTTGATCTGTGTTTGACTACTCCGTCTGGGCTACATTGTCGAGCACAGATCCACTGAGAAACTTGCTGTTTCAGCAACATTTAATTTAAAAACTACTTTTGGGGTTAAACAAAAGTTCATAATTGATTTCAACAAATTACAAGTTAAGAAGGGTGTGGAATTTTTTTTGTTTTGTATATTTTGTAAAATATCAAACCTTAAAACTAAAGTATCAAACTGAACTGAATCGTGAATTTTCAGTATCGTTGCACTCCTACAATACACATGTGCAAATAAACAATATTTGAAACTATAACTAAATAACAATAATAATCGTCTCTCTGTATGTGTTAAAATTTAGTAGACATACCTGACTGGTCTGTTTGGACAACTTGTTCTTTGTTCCTCCTCTTCTCCAGGCGTCAGCTCTCCTGGAGGTCGAGTCCTCTCTGAGGACCAGTTCAGCTGCTCGATATGTTTGGAAATCTTCGTGGAGCCTGTCTCCACTCCTTGCGGTCACAGCTTCTGCAAAGCCTGTCTGCAGGGCTACTGGAACCACAGCAAGAAGTTCCAGTGTCCCATGTGCAAGAAAACCTACTCCAGAAAACCGGAGATGAGTGTCAACCGGGTCCTGGCTGAGATATCGTCCCAGTTCCAGGGGCTGGTGGTGTCTGGAGGTGCTGCAGGAAGCCCCTCACGAGTGGGCTCAGTGAATTTAAACTTAGACACATCAGGCCACACTGGCCCCAGCAGCCTCAGCAGCCCCCAGGACACTGGGGAGTTTGCCCAGCCTGGGGAGGTTCCCTGTGACGCTTGTATCGGGAGGAAGTTAAAGGCCCATAAGTCTTGTGTGAACTGCCCTGGATCATTCTGTGAGACCCATCTAAGACATCACAAAAGGGTCATTTCTGCCTTTCCTGTTTCTTCTTGGACTTGCATCTTGAGTCATGTCTGCACTTGATCCAATCRAATTAAATTGTGGTATTTCTCCCCCTTAAAACTGTCCTCCAGGTCAAGACTATGACTTCACATCGTCTAATTGAGCCCACCTTCCACCTGGAGGAAAAGATCTGTAAAAAACACGAACGTCTTCTGGACGCTTATTGCCGCACCGATCACTCCTGCATCTGCTCAGCCTGTGCAGACGCCACGCACAAGTCCCACGACATCGTCTCCATTGACCACGAGTTCAAGAAAAAGACGGTAAGCTGCAGCTACTTCATGCATTTATGGGACAGAGACGATAGTTCCTTACACAAAACACCTCAAGTGGACCTGAGCATTCTTCCTGTCTTTATACAACATCTAAAAAGACGGTGTGGGATGATGGATTCAGCCTACTGCTGTTAAACCTCTGAGCTGCCAAATGCAATGACAGAACCCTAATGGTTGATATATGGGTGTGATGTAATGACAGGTCTGTGCAACCAGCTGGTTAAAGTATTCGTATGTGTAGTACTCCATGTCTTCATTGCTGTCATACTTCATGTTGGGAAATGGGCCGATGTATTGCCTGTGTAAATCTCTGATAATTTTGTTGAGTTTGGGGCAAGTGTAAGTACTTTTGTTTGGTGGTCTCCCCTGCTCTTTTTTCATTATGAGGTCTAAATCACATTTTCAAAGTCACATAGAACTAACTTGTTGTATTTTTGATTTTCATAACCACCTGTGTGATTTTCCAGGCTGTTCTGGGAAGGAAGAGATCAGAGCTGAAACATCTGATCAAAGAGAGAACTAAAAAACTGGAAGAGATCAAGCAGTCCATCAAGGTTATCAAGGTGAGTCCACCATAAACTGATCAGAATGTGAATTACAACGTGGTAATCTCTTGTCGGTCTGACTGTACATGTTGTTTTGTACAATCTGAAATTGCAACCCATCTTGAAACGGACCAAATTAGCTTGGACTAGCTCCTATTTTTAATTTGTTGACGTTTTTTTTTTTTAAAAAGCTGATTATACACATTATTATTTTTCACAACCAGTCAGGTAGTTTGTTTAAACTACCTGACTACGTAACAGTACCTGTTAAATATTTACTCTGTCTATCGTAACAGAATATTTATGATTCTTTACAGTTCAATGCCTCCATTAACACTCTCTGATCTTGGCTGCCTCATAAAACATGAGCTGATATAAGAGCCCTTTGATTGGTCGCAAAACACATTTTGATGCCTCATTTTGCAGTCTACTTTATTAATAAGAAACACACTTTGGGCGGGAAGGTGTCCTTATCTGTGTCATGCCTGTCGTGCTCTGAGAAGAGCTAACGTAGTTTGTTTTTCTCTTACGTATGTAGACTCAGATCCACATCTGAAGCCGTCTAACTGGTGRGACCAGAGTAAATACTCACCATTTGTTTGCCCCACACCCTGCTTTGGCCCACAACTTCACTGCAGTATYGCAAGAAAAAAGCACGAAGGGCATGCCTGGAGGGGTTTTCCATGATTGTTGCATGAGTGGTGCAGTGTGAATGTGCCAAGCCCTAAAGTGCAAATCTAATTAGGCGAACATTAATACTTAACACAAAATGCATCTTGTGAAACAAGCTGTTTCGTTTGCAGAATTCATCATTGATTTAATAGGATTGGACAGGTTATTTTTCTTCTGCTCTGGTTCAAAAAAAAGTTTCCTGTGGCACATTTGTATCTGCTTTGTCATATACAGTAAAGGTTCAGATACCGTACGGTTGAACGACAGGACAGCCTCATCTTTATATTTACAGTAAACAGACAAGGCTATGCGGCCATGTGTGTRCTGAACACTATAAATAAACTGAAAACTAAAGAAAATACAAATGGTTTCACCTTCACTGACAGTATAAGCAATATTATTTCCTAAACAGACCACGATGAACATAACAGTATTTTCTGTTGAATAAATGTTTAAGTTTGAAACTATTAATTTTCCARTGGTTGGAAGAAGACACCTCACTGATCCGGTTGGACAGCTACACGCTGTTYAGACATACAAAAGACAATTGACTTAATACTTCTGATCTGTGAAATATCAACATTTCACATGTTGATATTTTTGTAGCTAATGTGTTTTATGTGGTTTTATTTTAACCTGATCTGTGCACACTGTAAGTATTGTAAGTAGGAGTCGGGGGTTATTTGGTAAAAACAAACCCACATTGCTACTAAATTTGATAGATGCAACCACATTTTTTTTCTCATAACTTGTGAGGACTGTCTTTGATTTACATCATTACCAATAAAGTATAACAACAACTTTAATTATTTAGAGTTCATTTTGAATTTTATTCTTCTTATCTGCTCTTACCCACATAGATGAATGGAGCAAGCCATGAGATATTCAAATATTACACTATTTTAGCTCGCACAACCAACTAATCCAGCATTTGGTTGTAACTTGTTCATGTAGTAGTCAGTATCTACTAGTGGTGCACTGATAAATTGGCCGGTCAATATTGGCACCAATTTCCTTAATTTTGAGAATTGGCCAATACTTAGGTAAGATTGGTAGAAAAGATTTGGTTTTCATCTACCTCCATAAAGGTCTGAAAATCAGCCACTGTCCCCTTTTGCTCTGCTGTGAGCACCACTTGATGTCCAGTTTCAATAATTTCATATTGTTTCAAGGTTATTCGATGTTTTTCAATAAAATAAGATTGGAACATTAAATGTTTATTGTGACCATATAACATCTGACAGTGTTAGTATTTTAAAAATTTGTATCAGCCAAAATAGAAATCTGCAGTTCAGACTTTTTAAAGATCAGGGGCTACGTTCACACTGCAGGCAAATCCGACCCAAATCCGATTTTTTTGACCCATCTGACTCATATCTGATTTTTTTATGACAGTCTGAACGAGACAAATCCGATTTTTTCAAATCCGACCCAGGCCGTTTCAGTATGTGGTTTTAAATTGGATATACAGTGGTTTGCAAAAGTATTCATACCCCTTGAAC